TCCCTCTAAGTCTCTGAGTCTAGGATCACGCTTATCAGGCTGTACAGTAACTACAAGTTTATTAAGACGCCTGCAACACTAGCCTGTGAGTTTATCCAGGGCAGAGGCAAAGCTCTTTTTCCCGTGCCTCCAACCTAACCCAGGGCAGGACTCATGTAAGACTGGCAATCACTTCTGTGGAATAACTGTCTCAGTCCTTGGATGATTTTCATCATTAATCCTGCTTAGACATCAAACATTAAGGTTGCTTAAGCCAAACCAAGAGGCATGGAAGAGAAACTTCACAGTGGGGTAAATTCACTGAGTAGTCTCCTATATGTAGTTGACAGAAAGGATGACCAGATTGAGAAGTTACTGTTATACCTGAATAAGGTGATATTAGATTACCTTAAAAAGGTTGAACAGAACCTTTGAATCTCAAATACAATATATCTCTGGGGGAAAAAGAAAACTTTCTACTTGTACACTACAAAGACAGTGTTGTTTCCTAGCACAAATGCACTTCTGCTGAGAAACTGCCTTGCTAAACTATCGCTGAGACATAATGAGTGACCTTAGAAAAGGGTGCGGAGGTATGTTGAGTGGGAAGCACCACCGTTAACATGCAGCACCCACACACTCGCTCAAGAGTGGACTTCTCATCCCTTCAAACAGCGCAATAGGACTAGGAACAGAGATAAGAAAAAACTACAAGAATTTTGCTTGCCTTTTTTTTTTTTTTTTTTTAAATTTATGGCTGTTACCTGGTATGCTGTGTGGCCTGATGACATTTAAGTAATCTGAAATGTACCAGTTCAATCAAAGATTACTAAAAAGGGCAACCCATTCTCATTAGAAAGTACACCTGAAAGTAACAGAATGCCCAAAAGAAAGCCATGTTTTCAATGGACATTAAATAGCAACAAAGGCCCTAAAACAGAAAAGAGAACTCAGTTAACTATAAAATTTTATGAAGGTCCAGAAATAATCACACCACAGCACATGACTGAAAACTCTACGAGAAACAATGTGTTTTTTTCTACTAAATAAATTATTGAAAGGGTCATGTGATTCTCGCAGGCAGAAAGATGCACTTTCCCAGGAAAGTTCATCATGAAATATATTATTTAAGACTAGATCATCTTCAAGCTATTTTTAATCCTATCGTTTTGCTGCCAAAATTGGCCATAAGCAGCCAATCCTCAGACACTAGAAAAATGATGCTCTTTCGTGTAATTTGTACACTGGCGTGAGAATGGTATTGCTTCCCAGTTAATCAAATGTTTTGCTGGATGTAGACTGCATTGAGAAAGGAAAAACTGCTTGCTGACTAATCAAAAGGCAGCTGAACTCTACCAGTTGTGGAGAAGTTCCTATCTTCCTAAACCACCAACACCAAAAAATAAGTCAGATTACCATCTCGTCTATAGAATAAAGCGAATCTCCCACAATCTCTTGTCCGGATCATCTCATTCTTCTGGTGGTCCATATCTCACTCTCTCCTAAGACACGAAGCCGAACGTCACCACAGTTCTCAGTTTAGAGGGTCACTCACCATCATTTACCCAAAACTCAACCCCTTGCCTGCAAGCGTCTCTTTGTCTTAAAGAAGTTGCAAGGTCACTAAAGTCATTTACAGAATTTAAACTGTGTTATGAGGGGATAACATAATAACTAACAGCTATTAAAAGAGCTAATTCTCTTGCCTTTAATTGAAGAAGAAAAGCTATCTTACTTTTTAATGGGACCAGTGATGCCAATATAAATTGTATAACTACTATGAAAAATATTCATGAGAAGACTGGGCTTATAGTTAATCTACCTGCTTGCTATCTCTCCTTCATCCCAGTTTATGTCTTCCTAAAGTCAGATCACAATAGGGGACATCTGGGAAATATTCAGTATTCCAAGTAACACTGTAGATCTTTAAGGCCACTGGAAGGGGACAATGCAGAATCCATCTCAGGTAGCAACTCTTCCTAAAAGCTGCCACCAGGAACCAAGGATGGTAGCCAGCATCGCTAACTTTAACGTGCACACCAACCACATATTCTGACTCAGTAGCTCTGGGGTGGGAGCTGAGCTTTTGCATCTCTAAGAAGCTCCCGGGGATGCATGTGCTACTACTGTCTATAAGCCACACTGAGCAGCAAGGTATCCACGTTTTCTAGAATTGCTGCTCTCTCACTGCTTCCTCTGTCCTGCCTCTCTCTGGATGCCACATAATGCCTTATTCAGACTTAGGAATAAAGTCACACTCCACTCTACAGCCAATTACTTCTTTAGTCTTTATTTAATTTGTAGTCTTCTGGGACAATCTGTCAGAGGCTGATCATTCCAAGGACCTGATTTCTCCATGTTACGGAACACAAAAGTCAAACAGATTGCCTCAGCCTCACAAGGTTCTGATCTTCTAGGAGCAGCAGCAAAGCAAAAGAAATGACTTGAAGTCTAAAGCCAGGAGTATTCAGTGTAGTATTCAGGAGATGGTCTGATCCACTGAGCCTTGGGGACACTGCAGATTATTGTCACACATCAAGAAAATATGCTAGCTCTCTTCTGAAGCTTTACCATTAAGACTACTTTACACTATAAAATACAACATATTATTAGAGATGTAACCCCAATTGGCGTAAATTTGAAGAAAATCTGTCTGTGTGCCAAATGCCTTAAATGACTTTTAGATTAATAATGCACATTTGAAATGATAGGCCAATCATTTATCATTCTCAAACACTACCACTTTTATTCCAAAGTGTCCTATGAGTGCATTTCCTGGCATATATGTATTTTTTTCTCTAAATTCCGTTGTTTTCCAATATAGTCACCATCTATGCATTGTTCTGAAAGCTATTACATATTTTACCATCAACCATCTGTGCTTCTACATGATTTATTTTTACTAGAAGCAGTTTTGTCAAAACTTTTTTATCATGTTCTACGGTGTGTCCTTGTGGTCTAGCATCATAAAATGTAGCCTCTACATTTATCAACCTCAGATACCTGTTGACCACAAAGATAGGTCTACTACGAAAACTCTGTTTCAAAAAAAGAAAAAAGTGAGCCTTTACTTAAAAAGAAACTTCAGTTACATGAGACGGTAACACACTGAAATTCAGCAACAAGTATCAAGGTTGTATCTTAATTTCTATCATAAACATGTGTCTCTGTTTCCCACGTTTTTATTAACTTACTTGATAGATAGATACCAGTTACCACGTTGGATTTATTTCAACTAGAAAGAAAATTTTTAAATGTGAATTTTTCATAAAAATGTGAAATAGCAAAACTATTAAATCAGTTTTACTTTGGTTTAAAAGGATCCTTTTGGAGTCTGGAAGTCCCAACCCTTTTGGTTATAGTGATTAAGAATCAAACCACCTACTTAACCAAATATTTAACAAAAACATTCTTTTCACCCTTTAGTAAATTCTTCCAGAATTACTAAACATCTGATAATGTGAGATCTCAACAAACGATTCGAGAAGAGCATTTAAATTTTAGAAATTTAAATTTTAGAAATTTAAATTGGGGTATTTTAATTAATCTTACTTTTAAACACCGAACAGTGGCATCAATATTTTGTCAACTTTGGTCAAATAAGATCAGATGTTCACATCAATCATCTACTTTTCTTGGCCTTTTCTCTATTTGGCCTCTTAATATGAGCACACTTTGTAAAATGTAATAAAAACATGTAGTGTGCTTCTTGACATCTAATCCACTTGCAGTCATTTCTAGGCTTTTTGCTCCTGTTATGTCCTATAAAATAATGACATTAGTAATTCTCCCAAGAGGCTATAAGAGGAAGCACTGAATTGCATCCTGTTTTTCAAAGATAACTCTTCAGATTAAAACAAAAACTGTAAAACACACACAAAAAAAAAACAACTTCAGACAAGAATACTTTTTCATAAATTCATCATTTTAGATATGAGATATAGATCTCCATTACAATCCTTGACTCTTAGGAACTGCACCACCACCCCCCGCAAAGAATCTCAGAAAAGTCCAATTGTATGGTATAATGACGAAAGCTCTGTCTAGCACAGTACCAGAAAAAGATCATCTCACAAATGTTCTTCAAAGCCACAGGTATCAATCACTTCAACTAAAGTCAGGGCATGAGAATCCACAGCTAAGAATCAGTTCTTCTACATTTTACATAGATACCTACATGCAAATTTTTTCAGGAGATCACCAAATTAGGTCGATTCTAGGTTGTGAAAAACAAAAGATTCTAGCATTCTAGCAAATTGGTAAATCACACACAAATGATAGAACACAAAGAATGCAGCCGATGCAAATGCTGTCACTGACGGTAGCAAAGCCATAGCCTAATACTCCTCAAGACACCTCATCACGCCCACTGGGAATATGGCACACACTGGAGATTCCAGTCCAAGGACTTTGGAATGTCAACTTAGCTCTTTACAAACACAACTAAGTTTTCCAGGGAAAAAGACTTACATCGGTTTTCCTCTTTCGGAAAATTTTACCGAGTGATGATGCCCTTGGTTTTCTGTGGAGTCTATTCTTCGAATTAGGTTGTTCTCAAATTTTAGTGTACAAGGAGCCTGTTTCAGAGGAGCTTGTTTGGGACGCAGACTGTCAAGACCCAACCTGGCATCTGGTTCATAAGCAGTCCCTGAAACCTCCCTCTGGTTCCAACAAGCTGCTCAAGCCAGGAAACGGTGGTCCTGGGGACTCCTGGACCTCCAGCTTGAGAAACACCGAAGGGGGTACCATTTACCACCACATCCCACTGGATTACAAACGCTGGCTCTTTGGATCTCCACGACTAGCAAGCAAGTTAAAGACTTAGATGGCAGGCGTTATCGGTCAGGTGGGGAGGGAACGCTTTATCCAGAGGAAGAGGTAGGGACGCCGGGAAGCAACAACCCTGATTTTATTTCGCCGGCTCCACAGCCTCCCCTTGCCCCAGGAGCCCACCCGCACTCCAACCCCCGCACCTCGAACCTGTGGCCCCAGCCCAGACTCACATCACCAAGTGCACCTACCCAGCCTCCGTTATCCTGGATCCAGGTGTGCAGGTGCCGGTTCAGGTACTCAGTCATCCACAGGGCGATGTTGTCCACCAGGGGCGACATCTCCCGGTTGACGCTCTCCACACACATGACCCCACCGAACTCAAAGAAGGCCACGATCCTCCCCCAGTTCACCCCGTCCCTGAAGAGCTCCTCCACCACCGTGGCAAAGCGTCCCCGCGCGGTGAAGGGCGTCAGGTGCAGCTGGCTGGACATCTCGGCGAAGTCGCGGCGGTAGCGGCGGGAGAAGTCGTCACCGGCCTGGCGGAGGGTCAGGTGGACCACAGGTGGCACCGGGCTGAGCGCAGGCCCCGCGGCGGCGGCGGGGGCAGCCGGGGTCGGCAGTGGCGAGGTCCTGGCGACCGGGTCCCGGGACGCGGCGGGATGGGGCGTGTGCCCGGGCTGGGAGGAGAAGATGCCCGGTGCGGGGGCGACCCCAGGGGTCGCCGCGCCCACATCCCCCGCATCCCACTCGTAGCCCCTCTGCGACAGCTTATAGTGGATGTACTTCATCACTATCTCCCGGTTATCGTACCCTGTTCTCCCAGCGTGCGCCATCCTTCCCAGAGGAAATGCAGCAGGGGCCAACGGCACCTCTCGCCCCAGCTCCCACCCCACGGCCCCCAAAGAAAGAAGAGGAGTTATAATCCAGCTATTTTATTGGATGTGCTTTGCATTCTTGGACGAGGGGGTGTCTTCGGTCACGCGGAACACTTGATTCTGGTGTTTCCCCCTTGGCATGAGATGCAGGAAATTTTTATTTCAATTCCTTTCGGGTCTTTATTTCATGAGGCACGTTATTATTAGTAAGTATTGTTAATATCAGTCTACTTCCTCCGTGATGCTGAAAGGTTAAAGAAAAAACAAACTAATAAGTAAAAAATCAGGTGCATTTCCCTGTATACACAGAGTGAAAGCAGGGCATACACACTACAAGTAACACGGCTAAAAAGAATGTATTAAACTGCCTGGAAATTAAATTTACTCGAATGCACTCTAAGTAAAAAATCTCAAATGTTTCCATTGAAAGTTACATTAAACCAATTTCCTGTGCAGAGAACTTACTTGTATTTTTTAAGAACAGCATGATCCTCTGTCAAGTTTCCTTTTTTGTAAAACCAACACAAATGCATAAGGCAACGATCCCATCAATCCTCAGCACTCTTCGGTTATAGCTGCTTTGAAACTTCCCAATGAATCAGGAGTCGAGGGGGAGAGGGAGTAAAAATTAGGAGGATTTCCAGATCGATTCCCAGACTTCTGCTTCACAGAAATGTCAATCCGCAGGAATCCCAACCGGAGATCTCAAGAGCTCGAGAAAAAAAGGCAGCGGCGGCGGCAGATGAATTACAATTTTCAGTCCAGTATTCGCAGAAGTCCTGTGATGTTTTCCCCTTCTCGGCAATTTACACGCGCGCACACACGCGCGGGCACAGGCATGAATCTCTATCCACGGGACCGCTTCACGCCTCCCCAGGAGAGAGACAGGGGAGGGGGAACGCTGAAGGAGCCGAGAACGGGGGCAGGAATCCTCTTCTGATTAAACTCCGAACAGCAAATGCGTTTTCCGAAAAGCTGCTGGATAAATGAAGGCAGGACTCGCCTGGCCCGCCGGTGCCGAGCGCTAGAAGCCCGCGCTGTGTGTGGTGCTGCGAGGGGTGGGGAGAAGGAGGTGGTGGGGGAGGGTTTTATTTTTTCCCTCTTTTCCTAAAAAGGATGACTGCTACGAAGTTCTCCCCCCTGGACCCCCTCTTCCGCTGCACCCCACCGGCGCACCCCGCCTCCGGGCTGCGCACCCTTTCTCCTCCTCCTGCTCCTG